CAAAGATGCAACAAAGAAAGAAAATTACAGAGCAAGCTCTCTCATGAACATTGATGGAAAAATACTCAATAAAATACTGGCTAACCAAATCCAGGAACACATCAAAAAATTATTCACCATGACCAAGTAGGCTTCATCCCAGGGATGCATGGATGGTTCAACATAGGAAAATCTGTCAATATAATACACCATATAAACAAACTGAAAGAAAAAAAACACATGATCATCTCATTGGATGCTGAAAAAGCCTTTGACAAAATCTAACATCTATTCATGATAAAGGTTCTAGAGAGATCAGGAATACAAGGAACATTTCTAAACATAATAAAGGCAATTCACAACAAGCCAACAGGAAAATCAAATTAAATGGAGAGAAACTCAAAGCAATTCCACTAAAATCAGGAACAAGACAAGGCTGTCCACTTTCCCCATACTTATTCAATATAGTACTTGAAGTTCTAGCTAGAGCAATAAGGCAACAAAAGGAGATCAAGGGGATACAAATTGGAAAGGAAGAATTCAAACATTCATTATTTGCAGACAATATGATAGTACACATAAGTGACAAAAAATCTACCAGAGAACTCCTACAGCTGACAAATTCCTTCAGTAAAGTGGCAGGATACAAGATTAACTAAAAAAAATCAGTAGACCTTTTATATACAAATGAAAAAGGGGTTGAGAAATAAATCATAGAAACATCACCCTTTACAGTAGCCACAAATAATATAAAATACTTTGGGGTAACTCTAATTAAGCAAGTGAAAGATGTGCATGATAAGAAGTTTAAGTCTCTAAAGAAAGAAATTGAAGAAGATATCAGAAATTGGAAAGATCTCCCATGCTCATGGATAGGCAGGGTTAACATAGTAAAAATGGCAATCTTACCAAAAGCAATTTACAGATTCAATGCAATCCCCATCAAAATACCAACACAATTCTTCACAGACTTGGAAAGAACAATATTTAACTTTATATGGAAAAACAAAAAACCTAGGCTAGCTACAACAATCCTGTATAATAAAGCAAACTCTAGAGGCATCATGATCTCTGACTTCAAGCTCTAGTATAGAGCTACAGTAATAAAAACAGCTTGATGCTGGCATAAAACCGACATGTGGAGCAATGGAATCGAATTGAAGACCCTGACATTAATCCACACACCTATGAACATATAATTTTTGACAAAGAAACCAAAACTGTACAATGGAAAAAAAAACATCTTCAGCAAATGGTGCTGGCATAACTGGATGCCAATATGCAGAAGACTGCAAATAGATCCTTATATGTTGCCATGCACAAAACTCAAGTCCAATTGGATCAAAGACCTCAACATAAATCCAGTAACACTGAACTTGATAGAAGAGAAAGTAGGAAGTAGTTTGGAAAGAATTGGCACAGGAGACCCCTTCCTAAATATAACACCAGTAGCACAGACACTGAGAAGCTTTTGCAGAGCAAAGGACACAGTCAAAGGACTGTGGACATAAGACCAAAGGACAGCCTACAGAATGGAAAAAGATCTTCACCAATCACACATCTGACAGAGGGCTGATCTCCAAAATATATAAAGAACTCAAAAAGCTAGACATCAAAATACTGAACAATCCAATTAAAAAATGGGCTACAGAGCTTAACAGAGAATTCTGAGCAGAATAATCTCAAATGGCTGAAAGGTATTTAAGTAATTGCTCAACATCCTTAGTCATCAGGGAAATGCAAATCAAAACAACTCTGAGATACCATCTTACACCCATCAGAATGGCTAAGATCAAAAACACAGAAGACAGCTTATGTTGGAATGGATGTGGAGAAAGGGGAACTCTCCTTCACTGTTGGTGGGAATGCAAACTTGTACAGATACTCTAGAAATCAATATGGTGGTTTCTCAGAAAATTGGGAATAAGTCTTCCTCAAGAACCAGCTATATCACACTTGGGCATATACCCAAGGAATGCTCAATCTTACCACAAGGACACATGCTCAACTGTGTTCATATCAGCATTATTCATAATAGCAAGAACCTGGAAACTACCTAGATGTCCCTCAACTCAAGAATGGATAAAGAAAATAATGGCACATATACACAATGGAGTACCACTCAGCAGTAAAAAAAATGACATCATGAAATTTGCAGGCAAATGGATGGATCTAGAAAATATCATCTTGAGTGAGGTAACCCAGACTCAGAAGGACAAACATAGTATGTACTCAGTTATAAGTGGATACTAAATGGGAGAGAAGGGATGGCTAGACTGCAACCCAGAACTCCAGAGAGGCTAGCTAACAGGAAAAGAGCCTAGGAGGGACACATGGATGATCCTGTGAAGGAGAAGTGGATGAGATCTACATGAGTGAACTTGGTGGGGGGTAGCAGAGGGTGAGGAGTGGGGGATGAGAACATAGGGAAATGGGAGGGTCAAGCTGGATCAGGGACAGAGTAGGAGGGCAGGGCGGAAGGTATCATGATAGATGAGGACATCTTGAGAAAAGGAAGAGGCAGGGTGCTGGGGAGGCTCTCAGGATTCCACAAGGTTGACCCCACCTTGGTCTGCTGGCAGTCGTCCAGAGGGTGCCTGGACTGGTCTACTCTGGTGATCAGCCTAGCAAATAACCTAGCTGTTATCATAGAGCCTTTGTACAGTGACAGATGTGGAAGATACAGAGATGCATGGCCAGGCACCAGACTGAGCTCCGGGAATCCAATTGATGAGAAAGAGCAGAGACACTGCAGGTGAGGGACGTCGAGATCATGATGGGAGGATGTGCAGAGATGACTGGCCACACTAGTGGAAGCCCATGAACTCTTCACTGATGACTGTGGAGCCCCCAAGGGACTGGAGTAAGCCCTCTGGATACTGAAGACGGTTGTTTGGCTCAAGCTGTTTCGGGGACACCAAGGCAGGGGGATCAGGATCTGTCCCTGGTTTATGGGAAGGCTTCTGTCATCCAGTGCCTGTGGTGTGACACCTTGCACAGCCTTGGTGCAGTGGGAAGGGGCTTGGACCTGCCTAGGCACAGTGTGCTGGATTCTGCTGACTCCCCATGGGAGACCCTGATATGGGGTATGTGGGGTTGCAGGGTGGCTTGGGAAAGAGGGCTGGGGGGTGGGAGGAGGGAAGTGGGGATGTCTGTGGATAGAATGAGGAGTAGAAAATTTCTTTTTTTTTTAATTTTATTTATTTTATTTTACAATACCATTCAGTTCTACATATCAGCCACAGGTTCCCCTATTCTCCCCACTCCCACCCCCTCCCCTTACTCCCAGCCCACCCCTCATTCCCACCTCCTCCAGGGCAAATCCTCCCCTGAGGACTGCGATCAACCTGGTAGACTCAGTCCAGGCAGGTCCAGTCCCTTCTTCCCAGACTGAGCCAAGTGTCCCTCCATAAGCTCCAGGTTTCAAACAGCCAACTCATGCAATGAGCACAGGACTTGGTCCCACTGCCTAGTTGCCTCCGAAACTGATCAAGCCAATCAACTGTCTCACCTATTCAGAGGGCCTGATCCAGCTGGGGGACCCTCAGCCTTTGGTTCATAGTTCATGTGTTTCCATTCATTTGGCTATTTTTTTCAATAATTGAGTAAAACCAAAAATTTCTTAATAAAGAAAAATGGAAATAAAAAAGAATGAATACACCCTTTCATGGCTACAGGGATGTCCAGCCTCGAAGGAATGAAGCACTATCCATTCACCTAGGGAAATTTTATTTCTCCCTATTACAGTTTAGCCTGTTAATTTCCATAAAGGAGCTCCTAACAATACAATGACAAGTGCAAATTCCTCTATTTCTCGGGTACCATGATTTTCTGGGTTTTCTGAACCAAGTTTTGCATATGCCTTTGTATCCTTGGGAGACTCTGAGACAAAATTCACATAGAGGCCAACAAGGGAAACAAAAGTTGTCTGCTAAACAAAAGATGGATTGGGGCTAGGTGCTACTCTCTGGAGCCAGGCCAGGTGCAGCTCAGTAGGAATACAGCCACAGTTTACAGATAAAATTAAAGATGTCTTCATTTTAAATTGTTCTTACCTCATTTTTCTTTACATTTTCTCCAAATCAACCATGTTTTTATACTGTGCACAGACCCTAAGGCCCCACATATCTTCTACCCCATCTCAATGCCAATTGTTTATAAGAGAAGGAGGTTTTGGTATTTTCCAAAGACTTTGAATAGCTTTTTCCTCTCCACCCTTCAGAGATATTGAGCTTCAAGAGGATGATGGCAAGGGTATGTGGAGAGAATCATGGTCGTCTTAGACTGACAGAAGACAAGGCTCTATTGCTTAATGTAAATATTATCCTCACAGCAGTTGTGAAGGCCTAGACTTGACTTTTACAGGCTCCATCCTATGGAAGGAGCCACCATCTCAGAACACCTGCTATACTCAGTTCCAGGAAGGACCTCAGGAATGTGCCATAACAACTTCAACAGTTACAGAGCAATATCCTCCTGCAGACATCCTGTCTGCAATTTATAACCCTTGAGGATATCTAGATAATCCTTCTGAGCAGTCCAGATAATCCTGTTCAGAGTGTTGTGGTTCTCTGCTAAAAGTCTAACCCAATGGTTTCAAATGTGGTTTCATGCCCAAAGTCTAATCCAATAGTTTCAAAAAAATCACCTTACCCTATATCCCTTCTATCGAATCCCAAGCATGTAATTTCCAGCTTGTGGTTTTTCCCTATAAAAACTGTCTACACTTAGCCTCGTGGGCGCTACCACATTTTCTTCCATCTGCTGTGTGGTGGCCCAGGTTGAATCTGAATAAAAGTAAATTTATGTGCTTGTATCAGAAACCAGATCCTTGGTGGTCTCTGGGGGTTTTGAGAAATGGGCACAACAAAATCAAGCTTTGATTTGGCTGAGACCAACATAATTTTATTTAATGAAACAGTCAAACCAGAAAGAAAAATTGCTAAACTAGTTGCAGCTGAAATGTGGGCTTCTGGCCTAATGACTCATGGAATAGCCTACTGCAGTGTTATCATCTACTTTCAGTACTCCTTGGTGCTGTAGACCAGACTGTGCTTGCCCACTAGGTACTCATCCATGTGGTTTTTTGAGGTCCCCATCCTGCACAGCTGGGTCATGTAGTTGCTGCTCTCATTGACCATTTCCATCAGAAGGTACAAGAAGTTGTGCTTCAGGAAGTCACATAGATGGGTGTTGCCTTTTTCAGTAACCAGTTCATGCAAGTCCAAGAGGCTCTGGTTGACTTCTTTTTCCAAGTGGAAAGCACACTCTATGACCTGGAGGCCACCAGTCCAGTCATCATCAGTTGGTATCGAGATTATCATGGAGGGTGATGTGGCCGCCTCACTGATTCTGTAAGAATAGAGACATCTTGATGCATGCCTTCCACTTCTGTGATTTGCACAAGAAAAAAATTGAAGTGCCCCAAAGCAACCTTCTGATGGTCACAGACAGGTAGTTATATAAGGCATACAGCTTCAGCTGGATGTGACTCTTGACAGCTGACTCATAGCCTTGGTGGTAATTATGTTGCACTTGAGAGGGTGCATCAGCCATCCTGATTCCTAACACTATGAGGTAGGTAGTATGATCACTAAAATGATATCAGTATTGGGTTTGGAGGAATAAACAGATTCAGGTATAGGCTCAGGTATAGGCTTCAGGTATAGGATCAACTTCAGGTTGAGTCCTCCAGATGGCCCAGAGGGAGGCTATACAATCTCCAAGAAGGCCTTGTGAGAAGTAGAAAATGGAGGCCTGGAAGTGGAAATTAATTGATGTTTGTATAGGGATATCCATTGAGAGAGTCAGTATTCAGGGGTTGGGGATCAGGATGTTTTCCACAAGCAAACCTGGAGAGTCTATTCAGACTAGCTTGGTTGTTATAATATGAATGAGTCATGTGCATAGATTTTAAATAAATTACCTGAGTCCTTTATTTAAGTAACTCATTTATACATTGCCTAACTATTATTTCATTAAACAGTGTTATTTGTGATGACCAGTCAATTTAATATCACAAAGATTTTGACATGAACAGTCATTTGAATGACTGTTCTCATCAATGACTACATATATTGGTACTTATGACACATGATGGAGAAGCAAAGGGTTAAAGCAGGCTAGAGTGCAGATGATCCATTAACATCAGTTCCATCAACAACTCTGGCAAATAACCCAATACCTTTGAAGAAACTGAAATTTGCCCTTTTTATTTTATGTGCTGTGGAAGTGGGCACTCATTTAGTTAATGAATGTTCTTTGCATTTTTGTGGAAAATCCATTAGCTATGGGTGAAAATATTTACTTCAAGGCTCTCTATTCTGTGCTACTTGTCTATGTGTGATTTTTTGAGAATTTTTAATCACTTCACCTGTGTAGTTTGCTTTGAAGTTAAGTAGCATATTTTTTTTCCAAAGTAACTTGGGCTATTTGGTGTTTCTTTTTTTTTTTTTTAATAGTTTTCACAATTTTTTCCTATTCCTGTGAAGAATGTTATTTGCATTTATATAGAAATTGTGATAGGATACTTTCCAATTCTTTTAACACATCTTTAATTTCTTTCATCAGTGTTTTACTAATGCCATTATCTCTTTCATCAATGTTTTGTTTTATAAATACCATTGTAGATATTCATTGCCTCTTTGGTTAAATGTATTCCTAGATGCTTTGTAGCTATTGAAAAATAGATTGATTTGCTGATTTCTACTTAAAATAATCCACTACGGGCACATAGTAGTGCTCTTAAATTTCATGCTGTCTTTGTATACTACAATGCTGATGGATTAGTTATTAGGTATAATATGATTTTATGAAATTAGGGGGCATTCTTCTTTACATATGGTCATGACATCTGTATGTCATGACAATTTGATTTCTTCTTTTTTCTATGCAGATATTCTTAATTTTGTGCTCATTTGATGACTAGGACATCAAATACTATGTTGAATAAAAGTGATAAAAATGGTCATACTTACCTTCTTCTAGGCCTGAAAAAAATGTGTTAACATTTCCTACTTCAAAAATTCCATGGATAGCTTGATATGAATGAATTTAGTTAGGTTAAAGTATGTTCCTTCTATATATAATTGGTTCATAATGTTTACTATAATTTATATTGAATTTTTTAATATTTTATCAGTGACTATGATTTTACTTTTCAGAAATTTAAATTAATACCTTTATGCTTATATGTATGCTAAAAATTCATAATGATATTTGTCAGATAATTAGCCCCCCCCCATACATACATACTTAACTTCTTTTTTTTTTCTTTTTTCGAGACAGGGTTTCCCTGTGTAGCTTTGCGCCTTTCCTGGAACTCACTTGGTAGCCCAGGCTGGCCTCGAACTCACAGAGATCCGCCTGGTTCTCCCTCTCGAGTGCTGAGATTAAAGGCATGCACCACTACCGCCCGGCTAATACATACTTAACTTCTGAGGAAGAGTTTAACTATAAAATTTTACTCTAATTATATGATATAATTAATGAGATATTAACGTTAAAATGTATATTTCTAAGTAAAACCACTAAATAAGAATGGGTTAAATATTCAAATTTCAATGAAGAAATTATATGCATGTATAAATATATAAGTATGGCATTCTTTTTGCTGCATTGGCCAATATAAAACTGAATATTAACAGATTCTCAGTGATTAACGCTCTTTCATTTATTTAGCACATTTATATTATGTAAGGTATTTTATAAGCATCAACATTTTTTCCTATAAAGTCTTCATATTTGAATTTTTTGTAAATGAGATCTATTAAATATTTCACATGTTCTCTTTTCTTAAGAAGTTTTATATACAGGAACATCAGTGATATAGTCATAAGAAGGCTAACCATAATTAGTGGATGTTTCTTTGTTTTTGCATGCACAGTGACACACACAATATGTATATTTCTAAGTGTAAATGTATGTATAAATGTGTACACACACACACACACACATATATATATATATATATATATATATATATACACCTATGACTATATAAAATAATTATTTAGTAAAATTAGTTAAAAGTGATGCATCTAAAATCAGTACTATCTCCAGTTTATTCATTTTACATTATCTTAGCACAGAAATTCATTAAGCTAACTTTTACTATAAATTTTAAACTTATCTGATGAGAGCCTTATACATGTTTTTAATGGATTTTGATCATATTCATTCCCTATTCCTTCCAAATCCTCTTGGATTACTTCCCCATATCCCTTTTCCAGCTTCATATCCTCATTTTTCATTTTTATAATTCACTGAATCTCATTAGTGCTGCTTATATGTATGTTTATATGGAGCCATCCTTTGGATCGTGGCCAATCCACAAGACAGCATACAACTGAGCAAAACTGACTCTCTCTTATCCCTAACAGCCATGAAGAGCCAAGTTCCTTTGGAATGAAGGCTCATGTGCCTCTCACTCTTCTGTGCTGGAATACTGATTAGCTTGCTCTTGTGAAAATTTTTTTCCAGGCAACCACAGCTGCTGTGAGTTCATGAGTTTAATGGTCCAAGTCTTTGACATTAACTTTTACTGCCATCAGTATTTTCATAAAATGAAGTTATGAACTAAAGAATAAATAATGTGCTGAAGTGAATATTTTTTTGAATAGGTTATTTTGGTAAACACACTTGGTATTGGAATTAACCTCGTAGCACAAATTTGAATATAACATAAACTGTTATTTCTAGTAGATATAATTTGCATACATCTCTAGGGCTATTTTTGTCCATTTATTCAATTGAATTTTATTTTATCTCTGCATTGGTAATTCCCATCCCCCCCTTAGCTCTTGGCAAGTGCCAGTTCATTCTTTGATTCTAAGTAATTCACTGTTTCAGATAATTAATGTAAGTGGGATCATGAAGTCATTATATTTTTTAACTTTCTTATTCCCTTCAAAGTTTCTTTATATTGTCATATATTGCATAATTTTCTTCTTTTTCAAGGCCAAATATCATCACTTTGTATATGTTTACCATATTATTTTTTTCTGATTTACTGATGGGCATTTAAGTTGTTTCTCCATCTTTGAATCACACAACTTATAAATAGCAGAGACTGACATACTTAAATGAATTTTGCCCTGAGTCATTTTAATAATGGTAGCATCATGAACTTCTTAATAACAAAGTATGCTTGCTTTGTTCTGTTATAAATTCTATATAGTGGTGGCTTATACATATGAGTTATTATACAGAGTGGCATCTTATTCATTATATTATCACTATTTCTTAAGGTTAAATTTATGAGTAGGTATGTATATGTTATATGTGCTCTCTCCATAGTAAGAAAAAAATCAAACATATCCAATAATAATAAATAATTATTTTAATTATGTTTAGTGTTCAGGCATATAATATTGATAGTAAAAATATTTATCACTAATATAAATTTCCTAGAATCACTCTAAATTTCTGTCTCTATATCCATAGATTACTGCAGCTTTCAGAACTCATTTGAGATGTATCATTGTTTAGTGGACAATGAAGACAAACCTTTATCTAAACCAACTAAAAAGCAGAGAGAATATGAAAATTAATATGACCAAAAAAGATAAAGGTGTCATAACAACAGGCACTGTGGAAATCAAGAGAATCATTAGGATACACTTCAACACCTGTACTGTAAAAAATGGGAAATACTAAAAGAAGTGGTTAATTTTCTTGATAGATACCACTTAAAAACATTAAATCAAGACCAGAAGAACATTTCAAATAGACCTATAACCTGTTATGAGCTGAACCCCATACAGGCCGAACTGCCTGAACACTTCTTGGGGGCGGGGGCAAGAAGGTACAGAGCCAATAACACAGACACTGGAATTCAGATGAGAAGCAACTGCCAAAATCCTTTATTGCTGGTATGGGGTGAGCCTAAATACCCCCTCCTGGCACCCCACTGGTGGTCAGCCATTTCTTTCACTGTGTTGGCTTCTTCTCATTGGCCCCATCAATCTGAAGTATGTAGGTCACCAATCACAGAGTACAGCAGCAGAAACCAGGTTGACTTATGGAAGTTGTTATTATGCATGCTTATACACACTGCCAAGGCAGTTGAGGCCCTGCCAGCCTGGCTGGCTCCTTTTTATCCCCACAATAACCCATAAGAAAATAGAAGCAGTCATTAAAAGCCACCCAACCAAAAACAAAACAAAACAAAACAAATCAAAACAAAACAAAACAGGGCTGTATAGTTTTATTGTAGGATGCTACAAGTCTTTCAAAGAAGCCCTTATAACAATATTCCTCCAATTATTCAACAAATGAAAAACAGAAGGATCATTACTAAACTCATTTTGTGAGTTTACAATCACTCTGATAACCTAACCACACAAATATTCAACACAGAGAATTATAGACCAATTACTCTCATGGATATTGATGTAACAAAATTCAATAAAACACTTGGAAACAGAGTCTAAGAACACATCAAAGACCATCAACCGTGGTCAAGTAAACTCCATTACAAAGATGCAGGCATTGTTCATCATAAGACAATCTGTCAATATAATCCACCATATAAACAAACTGGAATAAAAAAGTCA